ACTGCAAATTATGAGAGATCACTCAAAAATACATGAAGTAAAGTTTTTATCCTCCTTGCTTGTACCTTTTACCTATGAGAAAAAAATAAAAGCCGACGTTGCACGCACTACGGATAGATTATTTCTGCCAACCGGAATCCCAACCAAATTTTCGCTCCTCACTTCACATGTGATGATTTCTGGGCGACGCAGAAATTTTCTTCTAGAGCTCATAATTTGAAGCAAGTTGCTTTATATATGTGAGTTCAACACCTTGATGTAATTTTTTACACCTCTGAATATGAAAGTTCAACTACTAAAAAAAACAGTAATGGTAATATATTCTAATTTATGAACGGTAGCTGTCGTAAGCGTCTCACATTGGATTCCTTTAATAGATGGAGTTTATGTTAATTCTAGTGCACTGCATGGCTAATGTTCATGCTTTGCTTGCAGCGAGCGCCCATAAATCCTACTTCATTAGGTCAGATAGTTTATTCCACATATAGTCATGCAAAATACCTCATAGAAGCTAAGATTTTTCGATGTTAGAAGATGAAGAAAACATGATTCATGTATAGAAAAATGGATGAACATCGCTATGGAAATAGAAGTAATAGGAAAGGGATAGGAGCAAAGAATTTATGAAAATTTGTTAATGCTGAATAAATAAGCTGCCCTACGGCATAAGAGCAGAAGAAACAATGCAGAAGTCTAAGAATTGCTCCAGTGGCGCGGAATCGCTGAAGCACGCAGGCTTAGCCGATTAATCACAAATCGCTTGCACTTATTTTCGCAGACATCGCACAATTTCTTTAATAGTGACATTAAGGGTCAGCTGCAATCCCGGCAATGAGCTGACACTCAAGATTTAAGTTTACATGCACTTGATTGATCACGAAATTTTCTTTAATCAGGGCCGTTGTTACGAATCTGCCCAATGTGAGCATAATATTACCAACACCTGAGTTTTGACTTCTAAACGATTTTCTAGCTTTTCACCGTTAATAATTGGTGTCTTCTGGACGACAACATCCATTGATTACCTATTCAAGCCAAACTCTGAAATGGAATGAAAATGTTATCCTATATTGAGAGGTAATCCAATATTGAATAGGGTTTCGTTAAATAAAGGGTGTGCGTTGCCCTGGGTAAGAACTCTTTTCCGCATATCAAACCATCTAGCCTACTATTAGTCTGACCTCGCGTCTCATAATAATTCATGCAAGTTTGTCACTCTATAAAATCGATGTGTCATATATTTATGGAAGTTTAAACAAAGTAAACCCACTTTCTTTAGAAGGAATTGATGAAGTGACTGAATGTTCTGCGATGTATTAGTGCTCTGGTGCTCAAATTGCCAACATTTTTTTCCGGGGGAATAAATTGAGCGCCACCAAAGCTTCAATAGCGCTGATTGTTTGACACAATCTGGCGCATCCCATTCGTCTTTATGGGAAATAGATTATATTTTTTGGAAGGAAGCCTTACTGAGTTTTATATACAGTTCTTCGCATCAGTAATTCTAAAGCTTCATTTCGCTTCTTAAGCATGCCACTTTGAGTTCAAGTATCCAATATGCAAACACACCACCCATACTAGGGAGCATCCATTGAGTTTCCTAAACCTTAACACAACTGTAGGACAAGAACAAGTCAACTTTGATGATTCAATTGACAGACCATGTATTTATACTTTTGATTTACTAAAGTTTCGCAACGAACAAACAAAGATTGGGCAGGCAGCATGAGGTTATCACGTAGTTCTTCGTGACTTCTGGTCGCTTTAATCAGAAGAACATGTCAAAGCAGAGCCTTGCGAATCAGAGGAGCATAAGAAGAGTGCAATCAGCAGGATGTGAAACAAATAATGTGCAACAAATTAAAGGGACTTAAGCCATGCAATGTAGGTAATTTTGCCCTGAAAAAAAAAAGATCAGAAAATGTGGTTGCGTGGTGCTGTTTTACAGAATGCAAATTAGAACATAGTTTTAAAATGGGGTCCAGAACAGTGTTGATGTGAGCACTTTATACTAAATCCATGCTAAAAAACCTCTGCTCTTCTGTTCGCGCAAAATTTTGTGAAGAAAAACTAAATACAAAAAAGAGGCTAACCGCTTTCTTGGTGATGTATCCAAAGATATACATAGATAGAGCAGAGGAGCCTCAAACAGGCGTATCATTTATTCATTAAAGAAATTTTTCACACGCTAAAAAAGATGGTGGCCTAGCGCAGATGGTTCTAAGCACTAAATGAGAATAATGAGTTCGAAAACACTTCACTCAAGCCCAACTCAATCCAGGTGTTTGCGAAGGGGCAAGTTTGTGGGGACCTAACATCTATTAATATCGCCAAATGCTCAGTGCTCACCACTAGAACAAACATTTCTAAGATGGTTCGCTGTTTTTTTTTTCAAGTTGAGAGGCTACAATCAAAGGATGAAGTATAGTATCTAAGAGCACATGATTAAGGCTCGAGATGGTTTACCAACAATAAATCAATAATAAGTAAGAAGGGAAAGAGCAAAGCGCAGTACTCACACCAGTGATGACCTCGCAACTATCTGTCTAGATTATGTTTTCCTTCATAATATAAGAAAAGCTTAACATTTACATAACATCTAAAGATTACTGGCATCAACATTTCCTATAACCCACTCAATATGAGATTTCTCAAATTCGAAGGCTTGCATCTCATTCGAAACAATGTCGCTGTCATTCATTGTTTATAATAAAAACAGACTTAGCCACTCTAAGAGTGC